GCATTTCGTAATCTTTCCATCAATAAATATAGCTTACGGTAGTTACGCTTCAAACAGTGCGTTGACAATTTCTTTTGGGAAAGACACCCGCGAAGGTATATTGTTTTCATCAAGATGTTAGATTGGAGACATGCACAGTCGATTGCATGTTGTATATCCAGGATGTTTGTGATGACATCACGTAAAATGCACGTGGAAATATTGGTAGACAGCCGTCCCGCTCTGCTCGAAATCAAGGGCACGATAGACGAGATGAGTTTTTAAAATAGATGTCTTTAATTGCTTGTGGAAGTATTCATCAAGGTCTTGAACGGTTTAGTGATGACTCTTAGAGGACAAGGAATTTTTATGTGTTTGGCTGCTCAATTATGCCAAGAATTTTTGCCGATTTGCGAGTGGAGTTGCCAAGATATCGATCAAGTACTACTTCTTGGAAATGTTTTTTTCTCAGTGCATTCAGCAGCAGTGAAGTGTTAGTCAAAAATGGTGCCGTTCGGAGTGAACGTTCTTTTCTTAACTCAAGAAAAATATTTGGGGGGGGCTCTGTTGTTGTTTCACAAAAGCCCTTTAAAACTGAACAAGTTGGAAAAATCGTAATTCTCCTTTAAAAAGCCACACCAACCCGTATTATACCGTTAATTTCAAGTCGTTTAATCAGTATTTTCTTCAAGCTCTGATGCCGGCACCCACTTTGACGTTGAAACTACCAGTTATTCTATTATTTCGACTATTGTCCGAGCAGTCAACAAAAGAAAATAACAAACAATTGCAATTAGAAAGTGCCGTACACGCTCGTCACCTCGTTCTCCAATATGACATCTTACAACTAGAATTATTCCAGAACTTAAAAATGGTTTAGGCTACAGTGACAATCTTGACAATCTTGACAATCAGTGACAATCTTGTTGATTCCTCTTTCGTGGAATCAACAAACATCTCAGCAGGTTTCAGAGCGTGACGTGGCACCAAGATGGTTAAAGATTACATGTGTCACCAAGATGGTTAAAGATTACATGTGTCACCAAGATGGTTAAAGATTACATGTGTCACNGTCAGACGCGTTCCATTTGGCCAGTGAAAATACCGACATTTTCAACCCGTGATTTTTGTTGAATGGAAAGCGATCCTTGTCACCTAAAACCTGTCAATAAAACACCTTCATGTCAACAATATTTTATCATAAAGGTAAAACAAACATGACTTTGCAAACATAGCCGTTTCAATTTTCAAATCCCGACAAATCCAAAAGCGCGCCATCCTAGATATAAGCTGATCGGTTTTGCACCTTTTTCAACTCCAAATCGCGAAATTCGATTCTAAGAAGGCACAATTGAAAGAATGTAATTATTTTGCGTCGATACAGCCCATAGAAGGGCTCTAACGAGCAAATCGCTAATGGTAAGTTTACCCCACTAGGGTAAACTTTACCTGGCGGTAAACTGAAACAAACAAAGCACTCTGATTGGTCAATTGGGGTAAAAATTACCCTCATCTGGTAAATGTTTTTAGTGCATATTGTTTTTCATAAGGGCACAATGTTTTAGACATGTGTTAATTATAACTTTCAAACAGCAAAATTTTTAATTCACAACTAACAAGGGAGCTGTATGACACCAAATAATAGATGGTAGTGTCTTGGTCAGCACTCAATATTTTTCTTTAAACTTTATTTGCCTTTAAAAGGGCTCAGTTGAACAATGTGCAGCCCTACTGTTTGTCAGTCATTTTATGTGATTATAAAAAGTGGCAGATTTATGCTTGTTTAAAAGCAATTTCCTCCAGGCCACATTCACATGTAATAATTCTTCAGGATTCTTGCATTTGTATACTTGTAGCTAATATGTGGTATTGGTGTTAAATTTATGACATTCTATTATGATAATTATGAAATATTACTGTTACAGTACATTTATTTACCTTTCAACTACTTCTCAGCACCATAGAAAGAAACTACAGGGACGGCGACTTGATTATGATTGTAAAAAGAGAAAAGGACCCAAAGGTAATGTTTGATCATATTGAAGTTTCTTTGACTAATTATCTTATTGTTCTCTTTCTTAAGGTGAAACATTCTAAATCTACTGTACACAAGCCATCGTGATTCTCATAAACCGTCTCCAATTCCTTTGATAGCTGATGTTTTAACAACACAGTGCCATGGATTAAAATTGATTTTCTTAAGTGCTATATGAAATACGTGACAGGACATCTTTGCTATGTTATTATTGTAGTAACTATTCACCTTTTATTTGGGAGATTACTGACGCTTTGGCCTGCCTTTTTATTGAGTTTTTATTTTCCTTTTTTTTTTTCTTTTTTTAATAGTTCCAGAAGAAGAAGTCAGAGCTGCAGAAGAAAAATTCGAGGAATCTAAAGAGATTTGTTATAACAGTATGCTGAACCTCATTGAGACTTCTGATGTAAGCTGGAAATTGTTTTTGAGTCAATATGAATTTACTTAATGAGTATGACATACATTTGTGTGTCCAGCTGCATTAATTTTGGCACCATTTGACCCAATTTGATCCGAAATTTGTGAAACTTCCAGGTAAAGTGGAAAAAAATGGAACTTATACTGATTACTAACTGTTATCTTTATGTATGCTGTAGGTGGAACAAGTAAGCCAGTTAGCAGCCCTCGCAGAAGCAATATTTGATTACCACAAACACTGCTCAGATGTCATGGAGAGCCTGGTGGCCACTCTGAACAACAAGTAAGTGGAATGGTAAACATGTCAATGTATATTGGCAACTGTATATTCTGTATGTCATTATGTCTTTTTGCAGCTTTGACTATGGAAAAATTCTGGAAGGAGATTGGTTTTGTATTGCCCTGTGTACAGTATAGGTGATTAGGCATCTTATACAGATGTGTTATTAAGGTGGCTGTGCACAGTTTTTGCACGCACTTTTGCTGATGCAATTGAGTGCGTGAATGGGGATTGCAAAAAACAAACATGCCTTCAATAGAGCAGTCATTTTATTTACTCAACACATACCCGCACTATCAGTGCTATTTTTCTCTATAGTTGGCACAGTATTGAGGGCTTCAATCTTTTATCACAAAGATATGTTAGAAAAGTGAACGGTGCAAAGAACCCAGCAATTCTCAGCTTTTTTGTCGTTACCGAAAGAACCCAGTTAAATGCAGCACATGTGTAGTACTTGTGAAAGAACTACAATTGAATGGAAAATTGCTTTCTCGGAAATATGCGTATTTCTTGAGAACCACTCATTAGAATTTCATGAAATTTGGCACGAAAATACTTTAGGAAATAAATAACTGGAGTATTGAAAAAAAATTGATTTTGAACAAAGAAAATTGTAGAAAATCAAGTGAACCTTCAACAAAGGATAATTAAAGATCTCTTTGTTAAATTGTCAGCAAAATGGTGTTAACTTGTGAGTATCATTACAAGCTCGTTGCATGCAAATTAAAAAGAAAATCTATTGACTAGATTTTCTACAAAGAAACAAAACCGATTGTAATTGCCTGTTTATATCTATTCATGTTGCCATAGCAATGGCACATATGTCAGCTCAACTATCAAAAAAACAAAGTTTGTGTTGCTAACTTGCTTGCTGCCAGTTTGGGCGACCGAGAGATCAAGCGTTTTAGAGAAAATGGTGAAAGAAACAAAGGTATCAAAAACTGTGTTGAGCTGCCTTAACCAAGTGTGAGGTCAAGATGGCTGGATATTGGCGGAGTTCTTTTTTCGCATTTTTATGGACCTTGACTTCGTCTTGGTCCATAGAAATCCAAAAAAAGAATAAGGCTAATATCCAGTCATCTTGATTGAACAATCTTGGTTAGTGAAGGATAAATTATATCACCAAAAAAAAAGTCACTTTATTAAGAATTAAGAATGACTTGTTTACTTCCAAAGCCAGAAAAGAAAGCCAACTGTGTTTGTAGCACCACAAGCTCAAGAGATTCATTTCTGTTTTGTTTGTTTTAACTATCTTCTGCTGCTTTTTGCATTTCCTTTGCGGAAATTTTCCAAGAAATATGAACGTAGTTCTAATTCGATTTTTTTCATGCATGGGATCGATATGGGCATTCCCATGCGGGCAAGATGGGCTCATCTTGCCTGCTCAGGTAGCCAATCAGAACACAGGATTCGCTTCATCTTGCCCAGTTGGGAGCTGCAAGGGATGCAACGAAATATAATACTTTTTATTGATCACTTCCATTAGGGTTTTCCAGAATTAATTTATAATGCAAGGGGGAACATTTGTTTGAAATGCAAGTCACAATATTTGATTCAAAGCAGAAAAACACACAAAAGATTTCCTTCTAAATACTGCATTTTCAAGCTGAATTAGTATTTTTGTCAGACAAGTGTGAATACAGTATTTCTGTCAGTGGTTGTTTCATTTTGCATTTTGTCCATTCCTTTTTCAACTTAGCTCTTTTTAATATTAGGGTTTCTGAAGGTAGCAGTCGTCCTCGAAGTGAGCGAAGGTCCATTCGCGTTCGCAGTAATGATGATAGTGATGATGAGTCCAACTCCTCTTACAGTTTCTCACCCACACCATCTGCTGCTCCATCAGCTCCACCTCCAGCTCCCACCCCTGCAACTAATGGTGCTTACTACAGTGGCCCATTCAAAGCAGTGTATGATTTTGAGTCAGGTAAGGAAAGTTTGTTGAATATATTTGGTCACATTTTTTATAAAAAGAATTTTGCAGATTGCATGTACACGAGTTTTACAATCACACACTAATGTTATGCAATTATCACAAACTAGGGCTTTGGCAAGGAGGATTTTATACATTTGGACTAAATTGAAGACATCACTATTCTGTCTTTATTTATGCCAAACTTGCTTCTTTTTTACTAATTTCAGAATAACAGAAGTTGATCTCTTGATATTAATTTCTGTTATTTTGTGTGCATTTCTTCATTCTTACACCAGAATGTTGGCTTTTGTTTTTATTCCAGAAAATGACAATGAACTTGGTTTTAATGAAGGTGATATAATCCAAGTGGATGAACAAATAGATGAAAACTGGCTTTCTGGAACATTAAATGGCCAAACTGGAATGTTTCCTCTTAATTATGTAGAGAAAATGTAATTTTAATCAATCATTTTGAGCAATTTTCAGGTTTCGCTGGGCTCCAGTGGAGTGATATGTCAATTTAATTAATATGACAAAAGTAATTTTTGCCATATCAAAACAAACTTTGGAATCTAGGGTATATAATTTTTACATATTAAATGAAAGCTGAGAGAGAATCTGTGCATTATTAGGTTGTTTAAAAACTGATCTTAAACAACCCTTGAAATTAATTGATTGTAGCTCAAAGGAGGTTGAGCTCTTGATAACCAGTAGCAGTTTTTGAGAGACAAAAAAGAAATTATCAGGGCTTGACACTAACGGTAGCCAACTAGCCACAGAATAGTAGAAATTCAGTTTTAGCATGTGGTTTTCAGTTTTCACTGGCCAGTTTGGCTAGTAAACAAACTGAAATTGTTGTAGCATCTGAGTTGTAACTAACCACCTAGCTAGTAAGTTGAAAAGTAAGTGTCGAGTCGTGATTATAAGGTTGTTTTTTTTCCAAACTGATTGCTTCATACAGTGGTCATATTACTCAAGTTCTAGGCAACCAAGGGCAGATCTCAAAGGAAATATGATCACAGTTGATTGATTTCTGTTTTATAACCTGACCATCATGATAAAAAATTGAATTTTACTTGTAATTATACTGTGGTTTGTGGATTATGTGATAATGAAGACAGTTATTATTTTCTGTAATAAAAAAATGCAGCTTAATTTTATTGATCATCCTGGTATAGGAAATTGTTTAGACATAATTGATAAACACGCAGCTATAGTAACCAAAAGGGTTTGCTTATATTAGTCTCTGAACAGTTTGTTCTCCATTCAAAAATGTGCCATAAATGACAGTACACTTCACAACTGTGAAAGTCACTACCTTACTTGTACGAAGGAGTTCAGAATGTAACATGTACACAATTAGGTGGTTAATTGTTTTGGCAAACTTGTGCACTTTTAGTTATAAAAGTTAGTACATGTTTTGTATCTTCAGTATAACAGGAGTTTCATTATTGTTTTCCAGCAGGAGGGTAACTGGTTTACACAGTTGGGCTAACTTTTTGAACTGAACTTCCTTCTAGGATAAACTTTCCTCTTGATGGTTAAACTGGGTGGGCAAATGCTTCCTCACAGCCAGTCAATTTGCCTGGTGCCCGGCCCTCATTGAAACCCCTGGTATATATCCTTGTATTTAAAAGTGAGAGAAATTATCGCAAGCTTTAGTAACCCACCTCCGCACAGTTATGAATGGGTTCACCCAGAAGTCGTCTGTTACATGTGCATGAGTTATCTTTGTAGTGCAGCTTGAGGTGAGGTATTCATTAAATTGTTCTCAGGATGGCTCCTTAACAAGGCAGTCTGAGGCGATTGAATGTGGACCTTTTAAGTAAGTGTTAATGATCACTGAGAGATCCAATTTTGCATTAAAGGTCAAATGTTATTGGTTACTATTGGTATTGTGTTGTGAACTGGTGAACAAGTTTCCTTGTAGTCTACAATTCTGAAAGTTTACTGTTGCATGACAAAATAATTTTGTGAAACACATCAGAAACTGGTTTTCAAGTTATTTTCTTGGTGGAGAGCGAGCCAAATTACAAGACTCTCTCTGCACATATTGCATACCTGGTTTAAACTGGTGTTTGCTGGTTATAAAACCACAAAGAAGGAATTATGGCAGCAAACAGAAATCCCGACCATACCCCTCCCTTTTCCACCACAAGGTTGGATGTTCATTTGGAGATTAACAACTTGCTAATACATGCTGAACACAGAGGGCTGAACACAAAGGGAAAAGATTTTCTTAATTTTTCCCAGTTATCTGCAAATTTATCACTAAACAACTTGTACAAGTGTATCCACTGGTTTTTGAAATTAATGGTGATTTGTGCTCATCAAATAAGCATGGCCTAAAATGTGGAATACAGAATAATGGGGTTATGATGTTTGTATTAATAAATCAATAAACTTTATGTTAACAGCATATATATGACTTGCATCAGAGTCACTTAAGCCTGTGTCACTAGGCCTGGGTGGACATGAGTCTGAGAAGAGCCCAAAACATATTTATGCCCAAGAACATCAATTGTTATACTTTAATTACCACTTGAGAGGGCTTTGAGAAAATAGAAACTTAAAAATAACAGTCTGAACAATCACCCAAGTGTGCTATTTAGGCTAGAACACACTTTTACCCACCAAAATCTCCACTTCTGCTTGCCAAGTGCACCACAATACCCAAACAAGTGATAATAATTATTCAATTGCACCAACAACAATGAATCCAAGAACAAAAACTGATCTTCTCAACAAAAAGTTTATTTACATTGGATGGTCCAAAACATACACAACAGAACAGTCTATTGAAATATATGAAACTCATTTCATGTCTTAACAATGTCTTCCCTCCACCTTATCAAAACAAGCATATTCATTTGCTTTCTTATTTAGTAGACACTCTGGTTTTCTTGTTCCAAGAAAAGTTTGCTCCATAAGATTTTGGCTTCATTTTAACTTCATGTTTGTCATCGATTTCATAATTCCAACCTGATGACAAAGAGAACATTGGATGGCATCTAAATTAACAGTAATTAATACAGGTAATAAATTAATTTTGAGTGCAATTTGGAATATATAAACATATGCCCATGGAGGTTGCAATTTGCTTCTCTCAATACAAGCTAGTTTGTTTGAGAGAATTCCTTGGTGCAATAACATTAAACTTTCTGTACTCTGAGAGTGATTGATGTGCCATCAACCAATAAGCACACTAACATCGCTGCATGATTATTGTTACTTGCATTACAAAGTAATCAATGGCTTTGATGTCTGGGAATAGAAAGGGGACACTCGGCCTCTATGCATTTCTTTGCAACTCATATTGTGGGCTACAATATCTACTTTCAAACAAGGATTGGACTGGAGACAAAAACGCTTTCATTCTTCTGATTAAGAAAGTGCCAATAGTTACCATGTTTCTCTGCATAGTTCACAGCAGCCTCTTTTGAAGGGAAGGAGAGGTAAATGTTAGACAAGGGGTCAGCACTGCAATGAAAACAAAGAATTACATAAGTTGATATGCAGTAAATCCCTTTATTAGCTTTGATCCACACACACACACGCACACACAAAAAACACAAAACACCCCCATTCAATTATAATCAATCCTTCTATTTCACAAGTTTTAAATTCATGTCTCTCTTTCCACCTCTAATGAACATCTCTACTTTCATGGATGAGTTCTTAAGCCTAGTTCACATATGATTGCAGACGATCACAGGCAATCACAATCGATCGCCAGCGATTGTCTGCGATTATATGTGAACAGCTAGAGCTGTGATCATGTGCAATCGCGATCGCAGGAATAGAACCATGTTCTATTTGTGTGATCAGTTGCAATCATCTGCGATCGAGTGGAATCATATGTGAACAAAGTTCTGCTATCATGCGTTTGGAATGTGTCCAATAATGCTATGCAAGCGGCATGATACCATGACAACCAGTTGTTTATCAACTTCTACACGTGTGTGTGTTTTCACAAGATGAAAGGTGAAATTGACACGGAACAGTTTATGGAAGAAATTACTGAGAAAATACGATTGTTTCTTCAATTGCTTTAGCAAAGAATTCTCTCCTTCTTAAGACTTTCTGGACCAAGAAGTGACGTTTCTTCTTTTATCTGGCAGCGATTCTCCGTTTAAGTAAAGACAACAGAAGCAGAATGTTAACACCTATTAAAAGTTCAGCATCCTTTGCATTTATGTTGGTTGACTGGAGTTACATTGTGTTGCCACTGAGTAGTAAACAATGGACTCGGTTGTCACAGATCGCTGTGATCAGCTGCGATTATAGGTGAACATGTGATTTGCAATCTTCAACTGAGTGGTTTCAGCAATCGTGTGATTGCCTGCGATCTTCTGCAATGATCTGCGATTATATGTGAACCAGGCTTTAGACAGCAGTAGATGTAAAGTATTGGTCATGTTTTGTGACTCTTGTAAGACCTTGAACATTTATACTATTTATTTTCAAGTTTGTAAAATTGTTAGGTTAGGAAAATAATGACTTCCAACTGTGCAGCTAATAAAACTAAGGAGTCAGCTTTCTCAACCATCATTCACCCCTTACGCTGTTCTGATATATAGCCATAGCCCTTAAAATCTGGAAAAGTGCATAGCTTATGCATGTTTCTTATCATCTTAGGCTCAAATTCACTTTGAACTTCATAGGATATTTTCTACTGGGGAGCAACGTCAGAATACCCGTCCACATCATTTACATGTGTCGGGAGGCTTTGAAGAATGAAGCATAACACAATAGATGCTATTCTTATTCAATGACATGTAAATGAGTGGCTGGGTATTCTGAAGTTTAGCCTCTACTGGAAAACCATTAACTGAAACATTCAAACCTAACACCATCGACGCAATATACAAAAAAGTTGATGTTATTTACTTAGATGAACTGAGTTTGGTTTCATTTTATTCCTTTTCTGGATGCAACTGGTGAAAAGAAAAATCAAAACTAGTTTAAATACAGGTATCATGGTACAGTACTGCTGTTTTATCAAGTAACTTACTTTGAGGCCCATCCCATCAATGGATTTTCCCACCGCTCCATTGTATCAAACTCTATTTGCCAATTCTTTGTGTTAAACGAACCGGACTGCGTTGCTGTTCGTGCAGGAACAAAGATCCGAGCTTTTCTTTCTTTAACAAGCCAGTCCGGTACACCAGTCGTTGTGTCGATTACTTCCTATATAGATTTAGTAAGATTTAAGGTCAGTTTCATGATCAACTCATCGACAGCTCTACCCTAATTAAATCAACTGAGATAAGTCAGCTTGCAAGCAAGTTCTTGGCTCTATTTCTGTACCTTTCCGTCCTCATCGATGATTTCGACTGCTTTCTCCTGTTTATCTACAACTGTTGGTGTTGAACTACTTGTAAAATTTTGATTTTGAAAGTGAAAGTGGCCAAGCCTAGCTGCGGGACGAAGAAGACGAGGAAGATGCGCTCGATGAACTGCTCTCACCATGAAAGTCGCCATTTTCAATCTCAGTGATCGGTGGGAGACTGGGGTTGGTAAATAGTTTAGTGTTATGACGTAATTCCACGTTTAAAAACCGATATCGCACTCATCGCTTCGCGATTCGTGCGATATCGGTTTTTCAAGTGAAAGTACAACGTGTAATTCACTCGTCAGGCAGTGAATTTTTCTTGAATCGCATGACTGAATAAAAATAAGAAAACAAGAAATTAAAACGGCAATACTGTTTGTTTTTATCCCGTACGCGCGCCCTAGAAAGCCATTTTAGAAAGCAAGGTAAGTCGCTCACGTTTGAACCGTCGACAATTTTATTGTACCTCGTGAATTTTTCTTGAAGCGCATAGCTAAAGCCACCGAATCACTGAGCGAAACCAGATGTTTTGGATTTTTGGGCGCCACACCAGTGCGCAAACAATGAAAACCCTTTCAAAGTCAGGTGTCAATATCTAGCGAATAGAGGGAACAAGATATTTTTAGAATGAAACCACTTTTATGAAACCAAGTTTTCTCTAAGAGAGGCCAGTTCGTCATCTGTATAGGCTACAATAGTTTGGATTTCCGGAAATGATGCTTGACCTTTTTCGGCATTCATACCTGTTTTAGTTTTCTTTAGTAACGTTTGTTTGGTTTTTCTCGATAAGAACTGTCGTTTGGCTTTCTTCCCTCGTCTCTTGCATTTTTTGTTTTTCTATGCGTTTTCTCGTACTTTTGAGCGTGAGTGGTTTCCTCCAATTTTCTAAAAATTTGAATTTGAATTCAAAATTTGGAAGACATTCGTTTTCTATAAATTTGTTCATATTTTTTTATAGTTTCGTAGCACTAGTTACATTTACGTTTTTATGTTGGTAACAATAATTTTTGCTCGTGACTCACGTCAGCGATATGCATCAGTGCGATTCCACGCTAAATACCCTCTCTTCCGGTTGACGTATTGACCAATCAGAGCGCGTGTTTACCTTAAGCTATGCGATTCTTAGCTGATTCTTATCCCTCGCGATATACATTTACTCGAAATACCTCAAGCGCGAGCCGCGTGAACAAATGTCACCTATTGTATACGACGAGTTAGTGGGATCGATCGAGTACTCTAAAGGTTAGTATTAAACCCGTCGAAGTGATAAATCAATGAGTTTGAATGTATGAAAATCATCTGTGTGTGTTTCGTTTAGTAATTAGGCGTTGCCTTTGATGACAGATATATTTTAATTATACGACTCGTGATTGACATTAATTCCATACAGTGATTTAAAAGTGTTAGCTTATCATGTTTTAAACCAGTTTTCAGATGAATCAATAAGAGAGAGAGAAGTCGGGTTTTATAATCTGTTCGTCTACCCGAATCTGCTAACCTGAAGAGAGAAACCTGTTTTTACGACACGCCATAGAAGTAAGTTTCCAATCACGTTTTTTTAAATTTTGCTACGAGATTAAGACTTATATTAATTTGCGTTTTTCTGATTTCAAATTACAAATGTATTTCTCTTAGATCGAATAATTATTAAAGCTTGGATAATATCAGACGGTTTGTGGTGGTCGTCTGAGCTGACCAGTTCCAAGTAAGGAAACATTAAGTAATGCGGTTTTCATGAAATGACACCAACATCAACATCATTGAACCAACCTAATGACCGACTCCTAGTTGGCTTGTTGGCGTAGTTGCTAGTTGGTAGAGCACTCCGCCGTCAGTTTTTTGTAATGTTGTATAATCTAGTTAGAGGGCCACAGGTTTGTCAGCTATACAGCTGTTACGTGTCCCCCTCTATAAATAAAGTCCTTAGTGGGCTCAATTCCCGTACGGGTCTGAATGTTTTTCAGGTCTGATTTGCACTACTACATAAGTAAGGTTCATTACTGCGAGGATCGCTTTCATAAATATCTCAATATATTTCGCCTGTTATGCACTGGAAATGTTACATACTATTCCCATATGTATTAGGAAAGTGTTCTCTATGATATAAAAAATAAAATCGGAATAAAATGAGAACAAACGGTCTGAACAACCACGTAAGCGTGCTAATTTCTCCATAATTTTGATGTTTACACATTCTAAAAAAAGATATCTGATAATTGTGCTAGGAATTATGCAAAATATGGCATTAAAAATATTGTTCAAAAGTTATATTCAGACAAAGTAAATGGATTCGTCCGACTGGCTAGATTAGCGGTAGATTAAACCGCTATGTGATTGTTACACTACCAATATATGTAATCCCATCTTTCAACCGCTGACTTTATGTAGTACGGGCTCATATGTTTGTTGTTTCAGACGACTGACTCCTAGACAAAGGAAATGAGCGCCTTGGAAACTGTCTGATGTACAAGTCCTTCTTTTACTCATAGTTCTTCGAGACTTGCGTGCAAAATACCTGAATTTCTTTATCGGATGCTTCAGCTTCCTCAGCACGCGGTAACTACGAAATATGAGCTAGAACTGACCAACGTGCTTGAAATACAAAGGTACTTACGAACAGCTACTACTAACGACTGAGTTTTATCACTACCGATTCATATCTAGCATTGTCGGTTGAGTTGTATCATTAGCAATTTATATCTAGCACTAACGATTGAGTTTTCTTACCAGCGATTCATATTTTTGGCACAAATGGCTCCCAATACTACGCCTTCGAGAATTAAATATGTATGAATGCACTTTGCTCAGTTCTTCAAGGAAAGGAGCACGTGTTGTGAAACGAAGTTTGTCGTTCGAATATCGCAGATTTTGACATCTCTGACTATGTTTGATTCTTTTTTCTGCAAGATTTCCTTGCAGGCCCCGATACTTCCTAATGTATACAGGTATTTGATGAAAGACAGCTATATGGTGAAAATATAGAGAAGAATAAATGGCGTACGTAAATATGCAATATTTCTTTGTGTGCTACTCAATATCTCACGAGTGACTGCTGCACTAGTATCGCAGAGGTCAGTGGTTCGAATCCCGTACAGGCCTGATTTTTTTCAGGTCTGATTTTCGCTATTGCATAAATAGCGCTATCTACTGCAAAGGATCGTGCATCATACGTCTATCAATATTGTTGCCTACTCAATACAATGCCTAAGAATAACAACAAATCACANTTCTCGAATTTATCATAGCCGAGGATGTTAAACACATCAATCAAGACCACAAACTCCAAAAAGGTCTTGGCCTTCAGCATTTAGTGCCGCTTGAATTTCCCTTTCAAGGACCAAGTGAAGCCAGATCACTTCTTAACGCGCAGAACCCTTCGTCTGACGAGTATTTGCTCAACCACCTTCAATCCTTAGAATGTGTCTTTACTTCAAGCAGAAAGATACTTAGAGCATTCGGTGTCATTGCTGGGAAATCAAAGTATTTTAATTCTGTAAAACTACGTCTTGGAAAAGGTGGTGATTTTTGTGATTTTCTAGAGCCAGCCAAGACCTTGAAGGATTGTTCAATTCAATTGTCAGGTGACCTGTCGCATCCCTGTATGTCAGCCGGAGAAACCAGACTCTCAAACTTACTACCAAATTTCAAAAAGCTCTCGGTTCTACACCTCAACCTAAAAGATTGCACCAAGGTCCTTGTTAACCAATTGGTCGCCGTTATCACGCAATCCACGATCAAATCACTTGAGTTGGAAGAGGTGGATTTGATCGAAGATACCGCCATTGTTCTTGGTAACTCTGTTTGTAGGATGTCAGCTCTGGAAGTTCTTGTAATCATGGGAAAGCTGAACGAATTAGGATTGGCAGGGATGCAAGCTTTATTCGGGGGATTTACGCAAGAAATACCTTTAAGAGAACTTAAACTCAGCTATTTTAATGTCCGCAAGGATGGTCTCAAATTTCTCCGAAATAGCTTCCAGTTTTTCCCCCGACTTGAAGAACTTCGTCTCGTCAAACTAGGTATTGATGATAAAGATGTCTGTGATCTCTTGAGAAACGTGAACTTTCCAGAATTACACAAACTGGATTTATCGCAGAATCGGCTAGGCCATGGGATTACCTCCATTGTGAGCCATATTGTGCGTTTCCCGAAGATATTTCAACTCGTGTTGGAGGATGTAAACTGTTCCGAAGAAGACAAGTTGTTCATAATCGAAAACGTCAAAAAGGTTCGGCCAGTGTTTGGTGTTCTCCTATCATCGCCTTATACTTTGAAAGCTTTCTTAAGTGCAGAGCAAGAAGCAAGAAGCGACAATCACTGAGTGAAATTTATGGTCAAACGTTGTGGAGAAGAAACTGTGGTTATCAACTCTTACTGGAATGTTGTTTCGAATACCCTAAGATCGTAAATCCATATTACCTTTTAGTTTCCTTTAACGGAAGACGAAATTGATAATTTCCTAGACTGGATTTCTCCCTTCATATTCTTTTTTGCTTGTTTTTTTTTTTTCGGTTGTTGTTTTGTTTAAATATCGATTAATGATTAATCGAGAGAATCGCTCGTTAACCCGGGAGCGCTTCATTTGTTTTATATTTTCTATAAGCAGTAGATAAGGCTAACTCCGTGAGCGTACGAATGCTTTAAAGATACTCGTACTCTTGCTTTTGTTTTTTTTTAGTTGTAGCAGAATCAATTGAAGACGTGAATTTTGTGGGATCCTATTTCATCGTGCAAGTCTAGAAAACAATACAGGAAATTAATTCTTCCCATTTTGTTCAGAGACACACGCTCTCACCAGTACATTCAAATAGCATATCCTGTCTATCGATAATAAACAGTCGAAGAATATTAGATGCTAAATGTTGGTTTTTCTTACGTTTTGTATTTATCCTTTTTTTATCTTTGAGAAATTATAATAGGGCATGAAGCCGTTAACCACTTCGGGTACCCGCTCTCCAGAAGGGATAGGAATGGGTGTGTCACTTTCCACTGTAGTTTGTACGGATATTATTTCCGCAAGGGCAAAACGAAATAGACAAAAGTACCGGGTCTTAGCTTAGATGACCAGCAAATTGTACACTGATAAATTACTGGGTTGTAAAAGGCTGATCGAACAGTAGCACTAGTCAGGATGTAGCGCCAGTCGCAGTATGACGCCAAT